CAAAATGTTTCCACTCACTCTTGCAGGATGCAGTTACTTTAAGCGATATGACACTGTCTTAGTGCACAACTTTAAAAATCATCCAGTGCAAGGTATTAATTAGTATTTCGGTTTTTAATCCAAAGAAGCTGAGGCCTGTAGATGGTAGCCTGGGGCATTAGGGGAGGAAGAAGAAAAGCTTATCAGTAACTTTCCTGGACCTGGACCTGTCAAGCTGTATTTTAGCCCATGCCATGGCTGAAGAGGGAGCAGGGAAGAAAGGGAAATAAAAAGGCACGTTCTTTCCTGGCTGCTGACTGGTGTCTCCATAAACTGGCTTTTCGGTCTGTTCCCGTCAGGTGTCTGTAGCTGACGGTACTTTAAAGTAGCTCCTGTGGGTATTTTTTTTTTCCTCCCAGGGGCTTAAAACAACAGGAATTTATTCTGTTACAGTTCTGGAAGCCAAAAGTCTGACATCAAGGTGTCGGCGGGGCCGTGCTCCTTCCAAAGACTCTGGGGGAGGATCCTTCCTTTTCACTTCCAGCTCCTGGCGGCTCCAGGTGGTCGTTGGCTTGCAGCTGCATCAGTCCCATCCCTGCCTCTGTCTTCATGTGGCTTTTCCTATTCCCTCTGTCTCTCCCTCTTCCCTGTGTCTCTCCTCTGTGTCTCTCTTTTTTTTTAAACCCAAAATGCCTGTGGGTACTTTAAAGACCACTGTGCAGCCCTTTCTATGTGGAAGCTCTCGTAGCACGAGAAATGTCTTCCTTCTGCCCTCGGCCCTGCTTTTGGGATAGCTGCCATCTTGGTGCTGCATCCAAGTCTTCTGTGCTCCCAATCAGCTCTTCCCCCACACGCCCAGGTCCAGTGCACAGGAATCAAACATTCCTTGACTTTTACCAGAGTTCGAATTCCTTTGCCAGCATGGCCTCGTCCCCTCTCTAGTGTCCTGAAAGAGGCCACATCATTAGTCCGTGGTTTCCCCCAACTGTGGAGAGAATTAGGCGCTCCAAGGACTCTGGCTGAAGCCCTTACTTGCACTGAGACGAGGGGCACCCACCTCCTCTTCTGACCCTGGGGGAGTGGAGGTGGGGCTCAAGGCCAGCTTTTCCCGTAGAAATGTTCCCCTCGGTGTCTCTTTCATTCTCTGAATGCTATGACCACTTTTAATATTCTGGATCTCATGGAATGGCCCCCAAAGTGTGAAACCAGTTTATATATTTTATGGGTGAGTTCTGCGTTTTGTCTGGCCCCTAGCTTTGACATGCAGTCCGTTTGTATTTTGTTGCCTGGACCACAACTTTAGTTAACACACTATTACATTCATGTGACTCCAGTCACGGTCATGTTACTTTGATCTCTGCCTAAGATTGACAGATAAAGTAGAGGACACACATTTAAATTTGAATTTCAGATAAACCATGAATACTTTTTTAGTATGAGTGTGTCCTATGCACTACAGGAGACATGTGTAAACTAAAAAAAATGTTCATGGTTTATCTGAAGTTCAAATTTAACTGGTCATCCTATACTTCATTTGCTAAATCTAGCAACCTCCTCTTAGCCAAAACCCTTTAAATGCAAATGAAAAGTATTTTGATTGACATTTCGTTACCTGCAGGGCTGTATGCATGTGTGGTAGGTATATATTTCTCTCATATCCAGATTAGATAATTAGGTACAACTGTGTTAGAGACGATGTCTCTTCAGCAAATCTGTTTTGATGACAATATGTTATGATTCTGCTTCTGGGTGTGTAAGATTTGTCATCTTCCTGGCTGCTAATCTGTCTTGTACTTACATGTATGTATTGCATCTTGAGAATACAATGAATCCTGTTTTCCCTTAGCCATGTTGAGACCTGCTTGGGGAGGGTTATAATATGATGAAAAGCATTTTAGTACAGGGAATAAGCTGTTTATTCTACTATTAGACACTTTTTAACTGCTTGCATTTGTCTATTTACTCTTCAACTCATAAATACTTTTATTTATAAGTTGTCTTGTAAGGAGTTCAAAATGCATTACAAATGCATCCTATTAAAGCTCTCTGATTCCACTGTTGATATTATTGGATATTGTGCTATGATCATGGTTTTAATGATAAACAAAGAGGCTGAACAATGAGGTTACAAAAATTATAGAGCAAAAAAACAATTTATCAAATCAAGGTTTTTACTCAACATTTCAGTTCACATCATGAGATTCATGTAATCACACCCTCTTGGTGAGGAATCTTTTTGTACTTGTATGTGTTCAAGATGTTTGGTAGTAGATAGAAAGACAGGTTTGCCACAGTGAGACCGATGAGGTGTACAGAGGGCAGAGTTCCTGAGAGGAGTGTGGGAAGACATTTCACGGAATATGGGATCCTTTTTACTACAAATTCTGAAAGTTTTAGCCAAACATGGTGTGGTAGAAAAATATAATTTATGAAAATTACCTGTGTGATGCTCTAAATATATAACAAATGTTTCTGATTACAGACAGCAAAATTTATTATTTTTCTTTCATAGCCTGAGACTTTATAGCATTAGCACTATAATAATTCACTGCTTAATTTCTAAACCTAAAAGGACAGGGTCTCACTAAAGATTATTCTAGATTTGTGGAAAATGCATAGGATAGAAAGGGAGAGAACTACTTAGAAAACAGCTAATGTAGGAAAAAGATACACAAATCATAAACATCTTCTGATCATCTTAAACTACAACCAGTTCAACATAAGCTAATCCAGTGAAGACACTGGATTCATGTTTGGTTTGAAATCATGGAAATGTATTGGTATGATGACCTCTGTGCTCAGTTCTGGGTGTAATGAAAGGTGTGTAAGAGCTCACAGTGTTTACGTAAAAAAGATGTTTCTACTACCTTCAAATATTCAGAATTCAGAATGCTCCCTTATGTAGAAGACGAGCGTACTTGGGTAGTTGCAGAATATGACCAGAGCATCAATGGATAGAATTTACCAGGAGACACATTTCAGCCTGTCACTGGCTAACAAACAGAATGACCTAAAAAAGAAACTGGGTGCTCTGCTTGGTAGCAAATGGTCTATTGAGAAAAAGCTTACTTAAAACTCACATTAGAACTCACCTTAAAGAATGTAGATTATTTAAGTTCTTTCTGACTCTATGATTTCACAAATCTATGCTACTCTTACAGAACATGAGAATAGTTAAGTTGTAGAGAGTACCTGCTATCTTCAGGCATTGTCCTAAGGGCATGTACTTATTTATTCATTCATCCATCCATTCATTCATAAAATATTAACTACTAGGTACCGGGCATTGTCAAAGGCCCAAGGGTTATATCAAATTGCTGCCTTCATTGAATGATATTCTAAATAGCATAAGTAAACAATTTTTATAGTAAATGAGAAAATGATACATGTTAAAGAGAAAAAAGTCAGTAAATGGGATGGGGAGTCCTAAGGAAGGATTTATAATTTTGAATTGGGAAGTCTTTGTTGAGATTATATTTGAGTGAAGGTTTGAAGAGGGTGAGGGAGCAAACCACATGATTATCTAGGAATGATCCAGGCAGAGGGAACAGCAAATGCAAAGTCCTAAAGCAAGATTTGCTTTTGGTTCTGGAGACCCGTGTGGCTGGAGACAAGTGTTGCAGGGAACAGGAGCAGGAGTTAAGGTCAGAGACATATTCATATTTATAGATGTTATATATGATGGACATTACACTATGCATACAGCTTTGTATTATGTTTTTTCACTGACATATGACATTTTCCCCATGTTATTAAATTCTTATAAATATATTATCTATTCATAATTCTTCTAAGCATTTCCCTGTTCTAGAACTGACCTGTAACTTCGTAATATCTTTAAAAAATACTTTTT